AGCTTCCAAGGTTGAGAAACACTGGTCTAGGGAGATCATTCGTCTGCTTGATGGCTGCTTACCAGCCAGAAGGCCTCCCTATTCTTCAGCCTGAAGCTTCCCCCACCCCTTTATATCTCACCTTTTAGTCTTTGTCTTCAATTGCAACAGGTGACAAGATTGCCCTCTCTTTCATAATGTTGCATGACAGTTATGAAAACCCAGCCCTTTGTTGCCATAACTCCCACACTTGCCACATTTGAGATAGCCAAATGCAGGGAAACCAGGCATGATTAGAAACTGTTGAATGACAGCAAGCATCGTTAGAGCACTGGGAGAAAAAACTAAGGTCTGCTTGATCAAGAAGGTTTTGTGAAAGCACCTGGTATTATATACTCTTACATTATGTCTATTGCAGAATCGCTGAAATATATTGGAAGAAAATGGATGCTGGAAAGTTATTATAGGGAGAAGTTTGGGAAAGGAAGGAAGGAAGGAAGGAAGGAAGGAAGGAAGGAAGGAAGGAAGGGTAGGAGGGAGGGAGGGAGAATGGGAAAAAGAAGGGAGGGAGAGAGGAAGGGATAATGGGAAAGAGGGGAAGGGACAGAGGAGAGAGGGAGGGAGGAAAGAAGGATAATGGGGAAAAGAAGGTGAAAATAGTGCTAAATGAGCTGGTAATAAGTTCATTGGTGGAACTAGAAACCATACTAATGAATTTCAACATGCTAGTTTTTCCTTCCTTCCTTCCTTCCTTCCTTCCTTCCTTCCTTCCTTCCTTCTTTCTTTCCTTTCCTTCCTTCCTCCCTCCCTCCCTCCCTCCTCTGTTCCTCTGTCTCATTTAGCATTATTTTCAGCTTTGTTTAATGAATAAGTTTTCTTTGCTTGAATCAGGAACGTAAAAGAAGATAGGCAATTATGTCTTTTCAGCGCAACATATGGAAAAGTTTGCTACTCAAGGTTGGAGAGTCAGTTCCTTTGCCAGTTCCTTGTATATCTGCCATCCTTGTATCTAAAACTTGGGGAAGGATCATAATCCAGTTAACTGGCTGGGATGGGGTGGGGGATTCAAATGATGAAGTGCAAAGAAGAAAGTAGAAGGAATGTTCACCTACCCTTATTTTCATACAACCCTGATCAATTTTTTTTAAAAAAAAGTAATGTAAGTTGCCTTATACCACATCATACAATTTGTCCATTTAACATGGAAATTCCCACCTTTTTTGGTTCAGTAGACACATTTAAATTTTTGAAAATGTTTCATAGGCATGCATACAAATCAGCTACCATAAAGGTCAGTCATAAAACATCAATTTCTCTAAAAAGCAAAATTGGTCAGATTATCCCGACATCTCCTCCACCTTGACAAGACCTCATTGGGGTACCTACAGGTTCTCTATGACTTTTGGGGGGCTTTTACTCCCCTTTCTAAGCAAAGCACCAACAATAGCATTGATTTTTATTTAAATTCCTAAATTTCCATGTCTTTAGGTATTCTTGGGAATAAAGATCATGTCTAGGATTGGTGCATCGCTTTGCAGTACTTCTTTTCCCTTTGTCTTCCTATTTAAAAATTGGTGGACATCCTGCAAAATGTAATAAGGAATAATGAAGCTAAGCTGATTGCTCAGATACTGATCAATTTGGTGAACCCTAATAAGATTCTCTTTCACTTATTGGTATCATTATTATGATTATTATTAGTTTGTTATTTTGTATGTTCACTGAGAGCTCATGCATCGGAGACAAATTCCTTGGTGTCTAATCACATTTGGCCAAGTATTATATTCCATTCTGTTTGGTTTCCTTCCCTTCCATTATATTCATTTAGTGACTGTTTAAAGTTATGACATCACTGAAAAGAGTGATTTATGACAATTTTTCACACTTACGACAGTGGTGAAATGTAAAATTTGTTACTACCGGTTCTGTGGGCGTGGCTTAATGGGGGGGGGTAATGTGACTGGGTGGGCATGGCCAACCTTTTTTTTTTACTTTTAAAAGCATTTTTTAAAATGCTTTAAAATGCTCTTTGGCCAAAGAGACTGTAAACAAATGCTTTTAAAAGCCTCTGACGATCAGGCAACTCAGCTGGGATCGTCAGAGGCTTTTAAAAGCATTTTTTTCTACAACCTCTTCGGCCAAAGAGGTTGTAGAAAAAATGCTTTTAAAAGCCTCTGAGAATTCCAGCTGAGCTGCGGGATCATCAGAGGCTTTTTTTTTTTTACTTTTAAAAGCATTTTAAATGACTGAAGAGGTTGTAGAAAAAATGCTTTTAAAAGTCAAAATAAACAGCCTCTGATGATTGCGAGACTCAGCTGGGCATTGGCAGAGGGGGGGGGCAGGGATTTTTGCTATTGGTTCTCTGAATTACCCGCCGCCATTGCGAATCAGGTGATCCAATCTGAACCGGGAGCATTTCACCCCTGATTTACGATGTCGCAGCATCCCCATGGTCACTTGATCAAAATTTGGTTGCGTAGTAACTGGTTTATATTTATGACGGTTGCCGTATCCCAGGGTC